GAGAGAAGCGCGGTGGCTTCGTGAAGTTGAAACACCTGAAGCCCATGAAGGACTGAGCTTAGGGTCTTGGTTTAAGGCTTTGGGGCTTGAGGCTTAGGATTGGGTTTAGATTAGGAATTCGGTTTTCGGATCTAGGGTGTAGGGGAGTTGCGCAAGGCACATGGCACATTAACTGCCCCTCTATCAGATCATTTGGCATTAAGGGAAACAAGGGCTAAAGCACCAAGCCCTAAACCCTAAATCTATAAGAGCTCTAGTCTAAACTCCTTAAAGGGGGTTATATAGGGGAGTATGATAGGGGTAGTTAAGGGGGTATACTAGGAGTTTTAGACAAGGGCTGATACGTGGGCCTGCAGGAATCCAGCGGAGGCTTACGGCAGGATACGAGTTCCTGAATTCATTAGAGACATGGGGGTTTCCCAAAACTTGGGGGTATAGTCCTCCTTAAATGGAACATGGCTTTGCGTATATCATAAAGAGATCCCCAAATACCCCATATTCTATCTACTTAAGGGGTCTATACTCCTAAAGGGGGATATGAAAGTTATATTGGGATGCACAGGGTTTAGGGTTGAGGGCTTAGTGTGTCCCAAAGTCATGGGTACTTTTCGGGGTGTCCTTACAATACCGTAAGGATTCTATGTCGTGTTGGCGGGTCTACATTGGGGTCCCCCATCTCAAGGAAACTTTCGCAGCATGAACCCTACAGTAAAGCTGTTTGGGCCAACTGGTTCTCTGGTTTTACCCAGGCATCTACATCTGGTGTAGACAGCAGATAAGTTGAGAGGGCGACGGGCCTTCGGTGAAGGGCTGTGTAAAGGCTACGAGCCCCTACCCACTTCCTGCCAGGAGCGCGCAGTCCGCCGTGAGCCGCCACCGGATCCGGCTGAAATGGCAAAGCTGGCCGTCGCGCTGAGGTGGGGGGTAGGAAAATTCTAGTTTCCCAAAATAGGGGGACCCCAATATAGACCCCAACATATGACAACTCTTATTACAGAGACCCCAAAAGGGCACCCCTAATTTGGGAAGCCCCAAATCTCACCGTTTTAGGATCTTTGGCTATTTATCCGGGATGATATTGTTTTCCATCAGATCCACAAGAAGGAAGAAATTGATAATCAAATCAAGACGTGGATTACATGAGGTTTGGGTCGGAGTTCCAGGGCTTAATTTGGCGGTTTAGATGTTGGTGGTTGTTTGGGTGGTTCAGGGTTTGGGTTTAGGTCTGTTTTTCGTGACAACATTTTGGACGCCCCATTATAGTACCTACACAAACTCAACACGATGCCTTCCAGATACCGAACTGCTCCACCTTTATTCATCGACCCTTTGAGAGACCTTTTGAGAGACCCCAATCGGCCTAAATCTGTTGTCATGGCAGCGCCAGATCGAGATTGCAGCTGCGTGACAAGTTCCAGATGAATTAGGACATCTACTTAAAATTCATTCTGAACACTTTTCGACAGGAAGCCTAGATTCCTGGGAGCAATAAAGAGCTGCAAGAAAAGCTCTTTCCAAGCCCTTGCTCCCCCAAAGTAACATGGCACTCCATGTTGGCCTCTTCTAATGGATGGTAGGCCGTCATTGTCTCCTTTGAAATTCCATGTTAGCTTGGGGGACTGTATGGTTCAGGGAGCAGCTCTGGGATTTTACAAACTGCTTGGTGGGGATTCCTTATCCAATTTCATTACGTAATCCTCATATGAGCTCATGCTTCTAGCCCCATATTCCTATGTACTTCCCAGCTTGCCCCGATAGGCTAGAAGCGTCTCTCTTAACCCTGCCAAAACCCTCTTAGGTTTAGGGTTTCATCCAGGTCACCCTCGTTGCCCCGTTGGGCAGTGATGGATGCTGCCTCAGCTAAGTACTCCGGGTCCAAGACTTGGGGATATATTATGGGTTTAGGGTTTAGGGTTTGGGGTGGGCTTGGAAACAGATGTACGGCAGTATCCAAGGTATACATGGTGACTAGAGAGACCCAAGCTAAAGGCTATATCAGGACTATCTTGGAGAATTCCCATGTCTAAATTAGTAGGGCAGACTTTAGGGTTTGGTTTAAGGCTTTAGGCTTCAGGGGTGTGGGGGCTAGGGGATTCAGGGCTTAGGAGTCTAGGGTTTTGAGTTGTTCCACACAAGCCTTCCATCTACATTCCCAGTTAATCCTTGTACGGGCGCAGAAAAAGTAAATGTTCGGAGAGTCTAAAAACCTAGCATAGACATGGCCCAAAGGGTCCATGCAGCTCTTTAGTAGAGGATTTAGGGTTCAGGATGTAGGGTTTAAGGTTTAGGCTGTAGGGTTTAGGATTAAGGATCTAGGATTTAGGGTTTCAGGTTCAGGATTTAGGGTTTCGGGCTCAGGATGTATGATTTGGGGTTTCGGGTTTAGGGTTGAGGGCTTAGGGTTTTTGGGTAGGTATAGTATATACTCGGGCCCTAAAGTAGTTCTACGGGAACCCCCTTTGGCTTTATAGCTACATGGACCCTTGAGATGGTAACCACTGTTAGGAATGTTCATTGTTTGGGTTAGGGTTTAGGGTTTATGGGTGCGTGTTAAAACAACAAAGCGCCATATGTGGAACTGCCATGTTGTGGCAAAGCTTGAATGGACCTCCCAACGGGTTGAAAATACCTACCTGGCACAAAGTATGGTTTCTCTAGTGGTAACAAGTCCCTACGGTTTGGGCTAGTTTCTTCCAAGCCTTGAAAGGCAATATCCCAAACGGCCCATGTAATATGGTATATACTTGGGCCCTAAAGTAGTTACATGGGAACCCTTTGCGCCCTAGGTATAGGGCTATACAACTGCATGGACCCTTTGGGTATGGGGACTTAGGATCATCTCAGGATGGTTTTCTAAAAAAATCCGAGTCGACCCTGAGCGCTGCATGAAGGCAAATTAGGGGATGCTTTGCATTAATGCTTGTAGGGTTTAGGGGACTTTTTCTGTAGGGTGTAGAGTTGAGGTTTTATCTAGGGTCAGGGGTTTAGGACCGGGTTTAGGGTGTCATAGTTTTGTTGATTCAGGGTGAAGGCTTTTAGGGTTTAGGGTTGGCGGAACTAGTCCTTACAGTCCTTACGGTAGGTTTTGTTTTTAAGGGTATAGGGTTTAGGGTTTGGGGGAATCAGTGTTTAGGCTGTAGGCTTATTTTTCTCAGTGTCAAGGGCTTCGGGTTTAGGTTTGAGGGGATCAGGGAATTAAGGTCTTCCCATGTGTAGGACCATGTACTGTTTGCCCACCTGTCCTCCAACAAACAAACTATTACCAAAAAGCAGCCCACACATGTTCAGAACCCCTCTTTTGAGCCCCAAACCTTGCCTTAAGACCAAAAGAAACAGACATTTCAAGTTAGGATCCTAGGGTGTGCAGTATGCTTCTTTGTATGGGTTGTTGTCCGAAACTGAGGTTTTTTTGAGTGCCCTCAAGATTACGGGCCACGTTGTACAAAACGGGTCCAAATATATCACACCCTTAAACGGGAGAGCTTCAGGTTTTTTTGGTCTGCGATACCCTACACCCTAAAGCCTAAAACCCATACCCTAAAACCTAAACCCCAAACCTAAAATCCCTAAAGCCCTAAAAACCCTAGACGCTAAAGCCCTGAAGTCTCCAAATATTATATTCAACCCATTGTAGTAGTTTCCATTTTCTTTTCCATTCTCACCCCAAACCCTAGACCCAAAACCCCAACCCCTTAAACCTAAAACTCTAAACCCTAGCCTAAAACCCTAAACCCCAAACTCTAAATCCCAAACCCTAAATCCCAAACCCTAAACCCTAAACCCCAAACCGTGAACCCTAAATCCCAAACCCTAAACCCTAAACCCCAAACCGTAAACCCTAAACCCCCCTTGAAATCCCTAAACTCGACCCCTACATTCCTAGGATGCCGGACACGACGGCGCTTGGCTGCGGCGTGCACCCAGCGGTCCCATGGCGCTTTATGATCTAGGATATAGGGTATAGGGTTTAGGATATAGGGTTTGGAGTTTAGGATACAGGGTCTAGGGTATGGGGTTTGGAGTTTAAGGTTTAGGGTGTGGAGTTTTGCGGTTTTTCGGGCATGAGGGTGTAGGGTATAACTGAGGCCTAGGAGTATGACGAAGGGTGAGAGTCCTTTTCAGCATTCTACAAATCCCAATATTGTCTGGGTTATGTTAAGATTAGAGGGGGAAGGCTTGGGGAATGGGGTTGAGGATTTGGGCTTCAAATTATTCGATTCAGTACGGCCCAGAATACAAGGCAACATTACCCATCTAATTCTCCAAAGATGTGACACCCAAACCGATTATTCAAGTTACTCTAGTTCTTCGGGCCCCTACAAACGCCCGAGCATCTGAGTGCTTATATTGTAGGGCCGACCGTCACGGCATGGTAGGAATTCTTGTGAGCTTCTGTACACGCATAGTCCGCTTAAGTAGAGATGGGGCATATGGGGATTGTATTATGATATTGCGCAACTCCATATCAGGATTCGGATATGTCTCCTCAAGGAGTTCTGAGGGCTTGTGGGGTTTCTATGTGGATAAGGAATGGAAAAGCAAGTTCCCATCACGGTTGGTAGAGGCCCTGAATCTATACACGATACTTACTTTGGTCCCCGATGTCTATACAAAGTACCCTTGCATAGGGCTATGTGGAGCCCCACTAGAGCAAACGGCAGTTTTTTAAACCCTGAACCTTGAACCGCGGGTAGAATACTCTAATATACTATATTATACTATTAGGACTGGTAGCAAGTTCCAGGCTCCAAATCTGTCAGCGAGGGAGTTACCATGCGCAGGCTCATACCTCGATCAGTGGCAAATTATCAGAACCGCTTGCAATACTCGGTCAGGGTGCAGGGGTTGGGGTTTAATTACAATACTAGCCCCCCCGCAGATTTTGAATCCTTTTAGATGCCTAGTAGGCCTTATTAAGCTATAATCTCCTGATTAGCTCCTTGAACTTCGAACCCTGGGCAGCATAGTTTTGGGGGGATGGTATTCGAATCGCTCACTAGGCGATCGCAGCTCAAACAACATCGTTTGCCTCGTTCCAAACGGGGCGACTGTTGATGGTGAGCTGATCCATCTTACGTCGCTGGGCATGCAGGAGTCTAGGGTTTTTGTAAGAATTTATAAAGTTTGTCAGGTTTGTAGGGTTCAGATAGTACTCAGATAGTTTAGAGTTAAGGTTTCAGGCTTCACAACGCTTACTGGGGTTTGCAGGTGAGGCAATGATCATGCATGGTAAAGTCAGGCTTCATCAGGGTGTCCGCCAACCCGCCGCCTAAGGCTTTGGATTTAACACCTTGAAAGAGGATTGGTTTGATGGATCCTTCCAATCAGGACCAGGAAAAGTGCAAACAAAGCAGGCTGTGATATGAAACAGGCCTCACGCTCAGAACCAGAAGAAGAGCCACAGCAATTGAAACAGGCTTTTTGGCGTATTTATATAGTCTAAGTTCTAAGCCCAAAAACCCTACTACTGTAAACCCTAAGCCCTAAAGCCAAACCCTAAACTCCCTACGAATGTATGTAAACGGTAAGTCCTGAAGCCTAAACCCTAAACTCCCTACTAATGTACCTAAACCCTAAATCCCAAACCTTTTCTAATGTATGTAAACCGTAAGCCCCACAGCCTAAGCCCTAAACCCCACTAACTCCCTGAACAATAAACCCTGAACCCTAAACCCTAAACACCTAACCCTGAACCCTAAACCCTAGAGTTGTTAGACACTTCCTGCCTGTCCACTCAGACAAACTTTGGGGTTCAGGGTTTAGGGTTTGAGGTTTAGGGTTTAAGGTCTAGGATTCAAGGTTTAAGGCTTAGGGATTAGGGGACTGCTTCTCTCGCTCGAAAGTGAGAGCCCGTCAGCCAAGCATCATAGCACTTCCAAAAAGTGTGAACCCCATATGCCACGAATGCTTGTATAGGATTCCATGAAAGTCTTTTTGAACTAGCGCTTCACGTCCTAAGTTCCTACAAACACAAGACCCATGTTGTTGAGGAGCCTGCGCTTTGGGTCATCCTCTCTCAGACATCCGATCAAAAGTTTTGTTGCTTCTTCGAGGTATCTGTTATTTTTTAATGTACCGCGGCATGACCTAACCCGACATGCTAAACCATGAATCCTAAACCCTAAATCATAAATCCTGAACACCAAATCCTAAACCCTGAGACCCGAATCCTTAACCCGCAATCCTAAACTCCAAATCCTGCACGAAAGGTGGAGCAAGTCCGGCGAGCAAGGTTTCATCCCAGTGCAGCACCTTGAGCAGCGAGGCTAGGCAGAAAAGGGGCGAAGGAACGGATTTGGGGGGATTTCGGCTTAGGCTTAGGGCGTAGGGTTTAGGGCTTATAGGGCTTAAGGTCTAGGGCTTAGGGTTTAGGGTCTAGGGGTGGGTGATGCCCTGCATAGGGGATGTCTTTGAAGTAGTAGTTCGCACCTTCAAGCTAGGAGTGGAGATCACTACTCTACCCCAGCACGAAGCCCGAAACCCTAAGCAGTGAACATAGGCAACACCCGGGTTCTTTGGTCTTTGGCTTAGAAACCTTGAGCCCGCCTAAGCCCAAAAGCCCTAATGTTGGACCCGCTTTAATATGCCCGCCCCCCCCCCCTCCCCCCAAACAA